AGCCCAGAGGCAAAAGGCAGACAGGACAATTTAAGTTAAGAAAAGCTGGCTAACTTTGGAAACTAGTATGGCAGTAACCCAGACCCAGAAAGACAAATGTGAAATGTCCTCCTCATAAGTGGATATTAGATGTAAAGCAAAGGATAACCAGGCTATAAACAACCCTAGAGAAACTAGATTAAAAAGGGGACCCTAAGAAGGACACACATGCAGGACCCCAGGAAGGGAAAATAGTTAAGATCTCCTGGGGAAACTGAAAGGGAGAGGGATAGGAAGAAGGGGGGGGGGGAATGGGAACACGAGGGATTAAGAAGATCCAGTTGGGAGAAGGGATGGAGGAGGAGAGCAATATGGATATTTAGTTTTTTTCCAGACAGGGCTTCACTCTCTCTGTAGACCAGGTTGCCCTCAAAGTCACAGAGATCTACCTACCTCTGCCTTCCAAGTGCTGGGATCAAAGGCGCATGACACCATTGCTTGGCTGAAAGATATTTTGATAGAGGGAGCCATTATGGGATTAAGGGGAAACCTGCTGCTAGAGAAATTCTCAGGAATCCACAAGGATGACCCCAGATAATACTCCTAGTAATATTGGAGAGGGTGTCTGAATGGGCCTTCCCCTTTAATCAGACTGGTGACTACCCTAGTTGTCATCATAAAACCTACATCCAGTAACTGATGGAAGCAGATGCAGTGACCCACAGCCAAGCCCAGGGCTGAGCTCCTGGAATTCAGTTGAAGAGGAGGGGGGAGGGAATCATATAAACAGGGTGGGCCAAGAGCAGGATGGGGAAAACCAGAGACAGTTGACCTGAGCTAGTGGGAGCTCATGGACTATGGACTGGCAGCTGGGGAACCTGTATGGGACTGAAATAGATAGACCCTCTGAATGTGAGTGACAGTTAAGCGACTTGATCTATTGGGGGGCCCCTGGCAGTGGCACCAGGACCTCTGTGGTGGAATACCTTGCTCAATCTTGATATGGGGGGGGGGAGGGGGCTTGGTCCTGCCACAACTTGGTATGCCAGACTTTATTGACCCCCCCCAAGGAAGGCCTTATCCCCTCTGAGGAGTCGATGGCGGTTGGAAGGGTAGAGAGGCAGGAGGTGGGAGAAAGGGAGGGAGAACTGGGGTTGATATGTAAAATGAAAAATAATTTTTAATTAAAAAAAGACAAAAGCTGGCTAGAAATAAAACAAGCTAAGGCAGGGAATTCATAAATAAGAATAAATCTCTGTTTACTTATTTGAGTGTTGGGTGGCAGGCCCCCAGAGAACAAAGAGTAAAAAAAAAAGAAAAAGAAAATAATCAACCATTTCCTATCTTCTGCATTGTTTCATTTAATTTGCTTTCCTAGTTTAAGGTATAAGCTAAAAATCATAGACTTGCTCTTTCATCTTTTCTTGTCACATATTTAGTGCTATGAATTGTTCTCTACTGTTTCCGGTCTTGATTCTACAGTAGAGATGGGCTGTGAGAACTGAGTTCATATAACTGAATATGAATTTACAATGCTGTCCTTCAGTCAAAGGGAGTGGGTTCTTCCCAGGCTGAGTGAGGCAGGACGGGAAGCTCCTTGTGCGCTAGTGATTATTCTCAATTTGGGAGTAGTTTATTTGCATTTTTAGCTATTATTTATTATTCTTTGACAATTTCATACATGTATGTAATGTACTTGGGTTGTTTCTATCACCATTACTATCTCTCCTCCCCTTCCCCTTCCTGGTGAACTTCTTTTTCTTCCCAGGAAGTCTCCCTCCTATTTCCGTGTCTTTGTTCTGTGATTCACTGCGTTCAGAGGTGATGTTTATACAAGCGAAGGAGGGAATTCTTTAGGAGTGTGGGCAATGTACTGGTGGCTAGAGCATGGAGGAAAAGTATTTCTCCTTCTCCAACAACCATTAACTTCAGATAGCTCTTCAGGGAGGGTGGGCCTGTGTGTTCCTTCCTTGGTCCACAGCTCTGTCTCACCTTACCTATCTGTTGAACAGAACCTTTTCAAATTGATAATGTCCACCCCATAAGATTTTTGTTGGTTAGTTAACATTTTCAAGTCTTTGCAAATTCTTTATCAAATGTTTAAAAAAGTAGAACAATCCAGGTATAGGTGGCATATGCTTTTACTATGAGCACTTAAGAGTCTGAGGCAGGTGGATCTCTGAGCAAGATCTCTGGTCTACAGAGTGAGTTCTAGAACATACAGGGCTACACAGAGAAACTCTGTCTTGAAAAACCATATCACACATACATACATACATACATACATACATACATACATACATATGAAGGAGAGCTTACGTTCTCTCAATGCTGACAGTGCACTGCCCCTAAATTACTGATTTGTCCAAGTTCACACATCTTATTAGTACAGAGAAGATGCCAGGGTACAAGACTATTTATTTGATCATTGACCTTTTTATCAGGGGAGAGTTCCATGAACAAAATTGTGAAATGGTTCTTAATGGGTGCAAAACTGAATTCAGTCAGATTTAACAAATATTTGAAGACCTGATCAGAAGCGCCAGGCATTTTTGTAGCCAGTAGCAGCTGTAGGGCATAGGTGCCATAACTCTAGTGTCTAGGGAACATCCTGTGAGTTCTAACAGATAGGCAAGACGACTTTCATCCAGCTTTTCTTATAGGCAATAATTTATCATGATGATTTCAGTATGACACTTCCATTTGAGCATATTTATCACTATTTTCATATCTCAGCTTTTCTGCAGTGATGTGATTACTAGCATATGCCATCATATCTACCTGTGTTTCCTTCATTTTTAAAACTTGAAATAACATAGTTGATTCACATAAGTTGTTAAACTCTATTGAAAATTGTAATATTAACTAAAATATTATTTGATCCTAAGTACATATATTGAAATCATTATAAAATTATCAACGTAGTCATACTTCTTAAAATTTATTTAATGTTTAAAATAGGTTATACTGTATTAAATTTACCATTATATTCTTACAGAACCATATTTTTTATATCAACTGATATTATTATTTCATGGTTATATAAGTCATTTGTTACTGAACAGCATTTTAGTTATTTTTTACCATATACACCTTTATAAATTTTCTCTGTACATTTAGAGTGATTGTACTTTACCCAATACTATTTTTGGATGCAAGTGTATTGCTTTCAGTCTCCAGAAACATTTTCTTTTAACATCTTAGATTTATTTATTTGCTGCTTAGATCATCAAGGAAAACACATATTTGTGCCTTGGAATAAATTCCTCTTTGTGGTAGTCTCCAGCCAGTATGATGATGTAGTCAAGATACTCGCAGTACACTTATGCATTTGTACCCATAGTCGTATGTTTGGGGGAAGTTTCTTAGTTATTTTTCTAGTGCCATAATAAAAGAGCATGACGAAGGCAACTTATAAAAGATGATGTTTATTGAGGCTCACAGGTTTAGTGGGTTGGTATCCACAAACATCATGGCAGGGAGCATGCCTGCAAGCATGTTGCCACTGAAAGAGTAGCTGAGAGCTTGCATCTTGATTTACAGGTGCTAGGCAGAGAGAGAGCTAACTGGGGATTGTGTGAGCTTTTGAAATCTCAAGGCCCACCCTACAATGACACACCTCCTTCAGTAAAGCCACATGTCACAGTCCTTCCCAAACAGCTCCATCAATTGTTCAAACACATGAGCCTAAGAGGACCATTCTCACTCACAGTACCGTATGGTGTGAAAACCATGCTGGCTTCATAAATTAGTATTTTTCCCACAATTCTTCACAATTCTCTATTAATTGAACTAGTTCAAATACAGAAAATATCCATTCTTTTTAGGTTAGAATGAAGTTAATAGTAAAATGATTCAGGGTAGTATGTTTTAAATATAGTGTGTCCAATAATCTTTTCAATTTTTCTGCATTTATTCATCTGTTTACTATTTTCTCTTGAGTCATTCTTTTCATTCATATTTTGTCAAATAAAGGGTTTTTGTTTTAAGATTTCTCCAATTTATTGCAACTAAATTGTACATAGCATTATGATTTAAAAGTTTTCTTCCCACTATTGTGTATTTAGCCTTCCTTATTCCTAAACTTTCAACTTTTACTGTCTCTCCTTCCCCCAAGTAAGGTAAATTAATATTTTATAAGAACTCAAGTTCTTATTTTAATTGCTTTTCTATTAATTCTATTTCTTACACAGTTTCAATTTTTATCTCCCCTAACTTCTGTTCCTAATTAGTTATGGCTCGTTGTTCTCTTTTTTAGTCTCTTAAATTATTTGAATTTTATGTTAAAATATAATGTTATCATTTCCCTCTTTCTCTTTCCTCCCTCTAACCCAGTGGTTCCCAACCTTTCGAACACTGTGACCCTTTAATACAGTTCCTCATGTCAAAATTGTGAAGCCCAACCATAAACTGTTCTTTTTTGTTGTTGTTGTTGTTTTTGTTTTGTTTTGTTTTTCGAGACAGGGTTTCTCTGTGGCTTTGGAGGCTGTCCTGGACCTAGCTCTTGTAGACCAGGCTGGCCTCGAACTCACAGAGATCCACCTGCCTCTGCCTCCCAAGTGCTGGGATTAAAGGCGTGCGCCACCAATGCCCGGCTCATAAACTGTTCTTGTTGCTACTTATAACTGTAATTTTGCTACTGTAGTGAGTCATAATGTAAATATCTGTGTTTTTCAGTGATTTTAGGTGACTCCTGTGAATAGTTGTTGGACTCTCAAAGGGTTATGAACCACAGGTTGAAAACTGTTGCTTTAACCCCTCCACACCAACTTGCTCCCTCTCAAATTCATTGCCTCTTTTCCTTTGTTATTGTTATATTACATATATAAGTGCATAAATATATCAACACAACCTCCTTAGTGTATTAGTGTTTTTCATATGTTATGATTTCATGGCTGGCTATTTTGTATCAAGTGAATCAAATAACCAGTTGGGAGGCTCATCCCTGGAAAAACGATTTTATTTCTGCTTTGTAAATAAGCAAATAAGGTTTTAAAGACTGGTGGCGGGGGGGATGACAGGTGATTTTGTTGATGTTTTTCCTCTTTTATTTCCTCTTTGCTTTCTTCTACGTCTTTTAGCTTCTTGAGATAAATGCCATCTTGTGACTTGGCATTTCCCACTTGTGACTGCCCAGAGAGTTGCTCTTACTTCAGCCAGTTCTACCCAGTATGCTGTAAGAATAGGCTCAGGCACACAGGGAGGGCCTTTGGCACCATCGTGGCTGGGAGATTGGAGTGCTTGTGTAATAGTCCAGACATTTTAGAAGAACTGAAAAATATGTTGGTATCCCATTTGGCAAGCTATCTAATGTAGAAAAGAAAAAAATGTTCACATTCTTCTTGCAAGGGGTGAGGGTAGAGATGGTGGAGAACATGTTATCATGCCTTCAAAAGCCAGGCTCTACGGGAACATCTGAGCTTTGAAGAAACGTTTCCACATGCCATGGTAGCACTGCTCATGGCTCCTTGAGAAATGCGAGTTAGGTCATCATTTTTTTAATTAAAATGATCACTATGTTCTATCTTATATGAGAGGCATTTCTATGTCAGGAAAATACACCATCTTCCAATGGGATCTTTGTAAGAAGACAGTAGTTCAATTCTTAAATTCATCCAAAGAACTTGAAGAGAAGGAATTATTCTCCCAATCTCATCCTACAGGACAGAATAACACCGATACCAAAACAGGGCACACAGTAAACAAAAGTTGAATTCCAGATCATTAATAAACACAGATGCAAAACTTGTAACAATATAATATATCAAACAAATTTAATAGTATGTTAAAAAGATTACTCACCATGATCCATCCTAGAGATACAAGGATGCATGAATAGATAGATAAACATACTATACAATCAACACAACAAAGGACAAAATCATATGATCATCTCAATAGACTCAGAAAATTCATTTGATAACACACCTACCTGGAGATGTGGCTCAGTGATGAAACACTTAAATTGCATGCATGAAAACAAAATAGTAAATAATTAGACTATAATCCAATGCCATTTTATGATTTTAAAAAATCCTCTGGAAAAACTGGCTGTAGAAAGAATGAACAAGCTTCAACATATTAAAAGTATGTATAACCATAGGAAGAAGCTAAGCACTGCTTTGTCTGAAATGTGGCACAAGACCAGGGTGCCACTTTCATCATGCTTACTCAGCATAGTACTACAAGTCCTTGCCAGAGCTATTGCATAAGAAGAGGAAATAAAGGGCATCTCGATTGGAAAGGAGAAAACCAGACTGACAGTGTTTACAGATGATAAGATGTTATATTCAAATCCCAAAGATCCCACCAAAAACTCGCAGAATAAGTGAATTCACCAGAGTTGCAGAATACAGAGCCAAAGCACAAAATCAGTATTGTTGTATAACAGTATTGATTTTTCTGAAAAAATCAGTAAAGCAGTCTTATTCACTATAGCTGCGTTGCATTAAACATTAACTATCTAGGAATGAATTTAACAAAAGTGAAATTTCTATATAATAAAAGTATAAAATGTTGATGAAAGAAATTAAACGAGGCAGGAAAATGGAAAGACACTTATGTTCAAGTAATACTGTCCATAGTAAAAAATAATCTATAGAGTCAATGAAATCCTTATCAAAATACCAACGGCATTGCTTCCAGTGGTAGAAAGAAATGAGCCTTAAAATCATATGGAATCTCACACACACACACACACACACACACACACACACACACACACACACACGATGTTAAAATCACATACAGGAAAAGGATTTTTAAAAATTAATAGTACTGGGAAAACTGGATATTCTCATTCAGAAGTAAACTAGACCCCCACTTTTCACTACTTTTTAAAATAAATTAACAAGTTACATGTAAGATCTGAAACTACAGAAGAATACAGGGAAGCACACCAAGGCACTGGAATGGACAGGAGATTTGTGAGACCCCCCCACAAAGCACAGGAGATAAAAAATGTATGAATGAGATGTCATCAATCTCAAAAGTGTCTGGACAGCAAAGGAAACAACCCTCAGAGGGAAGAGGCTACTTCAGAATGTGAGGAAATACTTGTGAACTATGTATCTGATAAAAGGGTTATTATCATCTAGACCATATAAGGATCTCAAAAAAATCCAGTGGCAAAAAATCAAATAATCCAGTTTAAAAATAGACAACACATTTTTTTTTTGGTTTTTACAAGACAGGGTTTCTCTGTATTGTTTCGGAGGCTATCGGTCCAGCCTGGCCTCGAACGCACAGAGATCCGCCTGCCTCTGCCTCCCAAGTGCTGGGATTAAAGGAGTGCGCCACCACCGCCCGGCTAGACAACACATTTAAGTTGATGTTTCCCAATAGAAGACATGCAAATGGACAGAAGGGGTAAACATATTTAGTGTCCCTGGTCACCAGGGCAATGCAGGTCCAACCACGGAAAGACCAAGGCCGACTCCAGTAAGGATGAACACTATGAAGGCAAAAGGAAACAAGTACTGCAAGCATGCTGAGAAAATGGAGCCCTTGCATACTGCTAGTGTAAGTCTAACTCAAATTTACTACAGAAATTGTGCAAATAGCAGGGAGGTTCCTCAAAAATTTAAACCAGAACTATTATATGATCCCAGATATTCTACGACTGGATGTATATCCAAATACATGGAAATAAGTTTGTTGAAGATACATTTATACGTCTTTATTTATTATTTATAACTATAATGATAGACATATAATAAACATTTGTATCCATTAGCTGATGAATGGATAAAGTATGTTATATAAACCTGCATGATACTCTTCAACCATTAAGAAGAACAAAATTAAAAGAAGGGTGAGAGGGAGGAGGAGAAGTTGCCATTTGTGGCATGGATGGAACTACAGGTTATGATGTTAAGTGAAATAAGCCCAGTGAAAACACAGGTACCAATAACCATGTGTGACCTACATCACACCCATACAAAAGCTTGCTGAGTTTTCTATTTCCCCCTTTTTAAAGTACCTTATCTCCCAGGTGTGACACCACATACTAGTAATGCCAGCACTTGGGAGGCTAGGGCCGGAAGATCTCCATTTAAAGTTCAACCTAGGCTTTATAGAGTTGGCCAATCTGAACTACATAGGAAGACTCTGTCTCTTAAAACCAAAAGGAAGCAAGCATGAGGAGGCATTTCCTCTCCCTATTCTCCTTTCTCCTCTTCAATCTAGGTAAATTTTCTTAGATTTCTCTACAAGTTTGGCGGAAGAAGTCATCAGGCCTTCGCCTCTTCTACGTTTGATGGAGACTAGCAGTTGTGAGTAGATCCTGTTTTTGTATTTACTCCATGTTCTACTGGTTGGTTGATCCATACCTCAAACATCTTGCTGGACCTGTTCACTTAGTTTATTTGAGCTAAGGTATGCTGCTGGAATGTTCTGGGGGTAACTTCCCACTGTGTGTGAAATGAATCTGTAGACTTGTGTATGCTCCACGGTAACAATAAGAACCACGTTAGAACTGTGCATAGTGAGTACTCAGTATTGCAGAGGCTCTAGGGTTCCTGGTCCACCTACCTGCTGTCTCCTGTTCTCTGTTAGGATTCCCTGCAATTTTCCCAGTTGACGAACTAACTTTTCTTATGGGCCTTGTTATTCCTCAATTAATCATGTTTCTTCCTGATTCCAAGGTGCACAGGCTGCCTTGAGCACAGGCTCCTCCCCTAAGCCTGCATGCCTTGCCACCTCACATGTTGTCAAGCTTCACCAAAATTCCTAGAATAACTAGACATTTTCCTTCTTTTTAAAGCCTGTGTATCCCTTCTCTTTGAAGGTAGTGTATCTTTCTCCATATCTTCCACCTCTCTGTAATCCAACCAAGTATCCTAGATATTCTGAAAGTTCTCATAAGAATTTTCAAGAGCTCCACATCTGTCTCAAAAAATAAACTAGCTTAGGCCAATTTCCATGCTAATAATTGAAAGAAAATGCAGATTTGAGTCTTTCAGAAGCTTCCTGGCTTTGTATTGTCATATCTCTTCATTTTTAAAGCAATGCCACTTTGGTTTGTTTAAAAATATGTTGACTATCTGTCTAGATTACAATCTTATTGTCCTTATTGAATTTCTTGCTTGTTCTCTCAAATGAAATGTTTTTTTTTTTTTACGGTTATCTCACAAACAAGCCTACATGTGAAATCTTAAAGTATCATACTTGTAGATGTGCAAGAGAGAAAGTGTTGTGATTATGTTTTGATGATTTCTTAGATTTAACACCAAATCTAAGGATGGAAGCAGAGAACTGGTTTCCATCAGAGTTGAAAACTCTGCTCACTAAAACGGCAGACAAGCAGTGGACCATGGAAAGCCAGCCCTTCCAGCTCTGCCTTCTGAGTGCTATGATTCTATGTGTGTGCCACAGTATTCAGCGGGACTGTCCTGGTTTATTAATACTGCATTCAGCAGAGTAAGAAACTGTCTATATGAATGACTTTGATTCCCAGCAAAACACCCTTCCCTGTGGGATCCTTTCTGGTCATTCCTATAATATATAGCTTTCCTTCTAATTCTTAAGAGATATAGTATTTTTATTATTATACTTAGGGAATTCATAAGAGTTTATGTGTTTCAAGTAAACAAAATTTATGAATGAAAATGACTGAAATCAATAAATAAAAAGGCTCAGAGTCTTTTGATTCTTGTGATAGAGATACTTAAGTTTCTTTAAATAATTGAACTAAACTCTTTACCACGTGCCTTTCAGTTTAAAACCCAGTTGGTGGTGTAAACCATAGCAGATTCCATCTAGTTGTTCACAGCTTCTTTCACTTGAACTAGTTTAAACATTAGTGCCAGTGGCATAATAATACACCTGATTTTTCAAACTTTCCTGTGTTCTAGCTGCCCAGGTTCCCTCCCTCTTCTCCTGCTCCCTGTAGACATTGCTTTTGCAAAAGCCATTCCATGACTATTTTCCCAGGCCTAAGCAACATAAGTTCAAGCATAGTAGCCGCTATACCTACCACAGGAACATTAAGCTGGCACTAAGTTCACCCTTGGTAGTACAGAGTTTAACCTTAGCCTTGCCTTACCAATCTTCTGCTATAAAATCATTTGGAACTGAAGTACACAGTCATATGATGTTCTGTTTTGTTTTTCTAGGTCAAGCTAACAGCTGCTGCATAGCAATATTTTTTAAAAGCAAACAAAATGTACAGGCAAACATGGGTATACTGAGGTAGCTTGCTTGAGGTAGCTTGCTTGCTTACATTGTATCAGTATAGCACAGTTTTTCTACCTAGTTGCTTCGCAAAGAAAAACAAATGAATGCCCCCAAGGCAGTACTGCATTTGGTTGTAAATAAATTTAGTTAATTATTTGCTATGTAATGTGAGCCAACTTGTAGAGATGACCAAGTCTACCTCAGCCATGCAGACCCCAACAAGTGAAGCATGGCCTTTGTCTTTTGGAAGCTAAGTAGACAGCGGTAGTAGTATAGGAGGAATCTAATAAAACCTAATTTTGATCGATCTTTTTGTAGCTGTCAGACATGCTGAGATATGTCAGACATGGGCAGCTTACATATCTCACATTGCTGTCATTCCTACAAGATTCTTCCCGCTAGACTGCAAAGCAGAACCACCAACAATGAAATCGTCAAATTACCCTGGCAGGAGAGCAAAGTGAAGACAAGGGCGCAGCATGAGGCATCCGGTGTGGAAATTGAAGGAGGTGTGCACCGTCAGGACCCTGAGAGCCAGGGCATCTGGACATTTTGTGTCCCACATTTACTCATGCCACACCCAGTCCCTCTGCAGGACAGCCTCAAGAGATACTGGCAGCCAGAAGTGAGCTGTTTGACCTTCACACTCCACAATTGAAGTTAGGCTTCAGAACTAATATTATCTCAAGTAGAAAGAGTTAGTGATCTCTAGCCTATTACTTGCACATGTTCCCCCTTTCAATGAAGAATTGAAATGCTTTGTTCCTGGTGCAAAATTCCTGCACCCTCCCTGTAACGCTTCTGATAAGGACCCAGTAGTCCATTTCACAGATTCTACAGTTCCTCCGGTAAACAAACAGTTCAGTATCTTGGGTTCCTTTGCCTTCTGACAAAATTCTTAAGCTTGTGGTTTTACCTGTCCTTTGATTTCACCTTCTTAATCCATTGTCTGACCCCAAAGTTAAACAAGGAACTTCGGATGACTGTCCAGGCAGGGAGATGTCTCTGTCAATTCTACAGTTTATATATTATCCTTCTGGGGTCTTTGATAGTGTTGAAGACAGATAGTTATGGTTATGTTTGTCCTTAGTTAGGATAAAAGATACATTACATATAAAACTTTAAACTCACAAAAATAGGGTAGATGATAGAATATTTTCTTTAAATTTTGCCAAATGTTAGTGGACCAAATATAGTTAACTAAAATTCTTGCTTGATAACTGTTTTGTACATATAATTTTACTGTGTTAAAGTTAAAACCTTTCTTTTTATTTAGACAGAAAGCAGGAGATTATGGGGGATGTTCTTCTGTATGCTTTGAGTTATGTGTCTCTTGTTGGTTGATGAATAAAGCCATTTTGGCCAATGGACAGACAGGATGTAGTCAAGCAGGTAGTATAGGTAGGGTTACCAGACTAGGAGAAAGTTGGGAAGAGGAACAGAGAGGAGTCGCCGGATAGATGCCATGTAGCTACCAAAGCAGTAACATGCCGGAGCATTACAGGTAAGCCACACACTTGTGGCAATACATAGTTTAATAGAAATGGACTAATAATTAAGAGAGAGCTAGCTAATAAGAACCCTTAGCCATTGACCAAACCGTTTGTAATTAATATTAGCCACTGTGTGTTTATTTGGGATTAAATGGCTATGTGACCAGGCAGGAGAGAAACTCTACATGCCCCCTCCTCCTCTACTCAATGCCCAACACTATCTCCTTACTGAGATTGCATTTGGTCTGCTAGTTCTGCTTCTTAAAAACAGTCTGGTTCAGTCTGTCACCTTACAAGTGGCTCCCACTTTATCTTACCTCACAAGAATTAATTAAAAGCCACCTATCAACCAAAAGTGGCAACCAAAAATGCCTACATGTTTTTAAAACATTATCTATGAACACTCTAGCATTGTAGAAAATAACTGGACAAGGAGATGTATCTTTAATATGAAATAAACCGGGCAAGCCACAGCCCAAAATCTTTGTGTTGTAAAAATCCACTGGGCTCGTTTCTGATTTGCTGTTTAGCACACTTATATAGACCTTAGTATGTGCCTGCAACTAACAAAGAACATGTACAGATACTAGGTTTTTTTTATCTTCAAAACAACCCTTTGAATGGGTAGACAGAGTGGTGGGTGACCATGATCCGTATACATGTACAAAATATATAAGGATGAATTTAATTAATAAAATCAATGGATAATGATTATTAATAAGTTCCAAATTAGGAAATTATTTTGACATTCACTCCGTGAAATGTAATGTGTATTCTAAAGTACAGACACATAAGACACATAGAGTGACCTCATTGTTTCAGTTTACAACTTCAGTCTCAGGTTGACTGTAAACATAGAACACAGGTAAATGATCAGTCTGGAGCTAGGGTCCTAGCTCATCCAATGGGCACAAAGAGGCTGACAAACTGGATTATCTACCAATCTCTTCTAAAAAGGAGCAGGTATCACTCATCCTGCAGACATTACTAAATGATTGTCTATAAAATTTAGACTATAAAACTAAATTCCCAATCATCATTGCTTCCAGTGTGAAATAGCTTAGCAGGAATGTGCACATCAGAAACAATCAATGATAAAGAAAAATATTTTAACCACTTGAGATTTACTCCAACCACCAGTAAGAGGCATGCGCGGGCATAACACATGATGTACAAGCCTTTTAGCTGTATGAGTTGTGTCCATCACCAGTTCACCTGTGCATTTCAAATCTGTGTCAAAAGTTTTAGTCAACTCAGAGAATCAGAGATGTTAAAACCAAATCAAAGAGCACCCGAGAAGTGTATAAACAAAGGAATGAGTTAGGCACACTACTGATTAATGACTTACAGAACAAGAGATCGCTACCTGTGGTTTCTAGTTTACCAAATTATCTTAACAAAACGACACCCCACAGGTGAGTCTCTGCTGTCCTCTTACTTTGCAGTTAGGTCCTTCCTGTGCGGCTCCATAGACCCCAGTCAGCAGAATGTCAACGCTAGAATCGCTGAAAAACACTCATTAATCTCTCTTGCCCATTTTCAGACTGGACTGAAATACTGCATGGAACAGATAATACAAAATTAATATGAAATTCATATAAAGCTGTATTTCATCTGGCAGCCCTAACCACAAGGTGTCAAAAACCTTGTCAACAGTCCTGTCCTCAGCACCTCGGCTTCCGGCCATGCCTGTTATTTTCACTTCTGTAGTCTATTTGGATGTGAGAGTGAGATGATGACGTGATGATTGTTGTTGTTATTATTTACATTCGATCCGCTAGGGGACGACACAGAACACTCACAAACTCCGCCACCGGGCCATTGCGCATTTCCGCCAAAACCAGTCTGCGCCTGCGTATAACTCTCCATATCCCAGTCTCCCGACCGTGCGCCCAGCGCGCCGTCTACTGCGCAGGCGTGAGTGTGCGAACTCCATTGGTCGGGATACCGGAAGGGGCGGGGTCCACGGAGAGCACGCACGCCGGCTCTGGGATCTCCGCCCTCGGTTCCCCTCCTGGCGTGCGGCTAGGCGTGGAGATGCCCACCCGTGGGGTGCGAGCCGACGATCGCGCCGCGCCGGTGCCCGCCCACACGTCGGCTGCACACACCGAGGCCCTTAGCAGCAAGGTGCGGTGGGTGGCTGGGGAGCGCCTTCCGCCTGGGACCCCGGGATGTGGGCAGCGGCCCCGCGGCCGTGTTCCTCGCTTCCCTCGTCCGTTCTCAGCATCCGCATCAGGTTGCCCCTCCTTCCTGCAGACTTTCCCTGAGGGAGGCGCAGAAGCTTATCTCCCCTAAACAGTGGGGGGGGGGCACGACACTGGCTGAGGTGTGGTGGGGTTGTCCCCTTCACATAGATTTGTTGCTCTGTGGATCTGCTTCGCCCTGTTAGCCACGCACCCGCCTGGGGGCCATCCTTGACATCCATCCCGAAAGTTTAGAAATCTGCCGGTGTTCTTCCAGATGCCCTCACTGGCTGTTCAGGGTGTCCCCAGCCGCCTGTGTCCTCCACTTCGATCCTAAAAAAAATTCGTCTGGTTGTCTCTAAGTAGGACCCTAGCAGATTAATTGTTGCCTGTCTCCCTCCCTCCCTCCCTGGCGCAAACACTGTTGTTTGAGGGGAGCATGACCTTATTCTCTTGCCTGACAGCCGAGATTTCTGGGATGCACCACCATGCTGAACTATCCCATTAATCTTAACTTCCAGTTACAGACACAATCTTTAAACATGTATAGTGGAGGGGTGTGGCATGTATAGTCTTTTCAGGTATTAAACATCCTAAATTCTACATCTTCGGTTAGTGACCTTATTCCCACTGTATCCCAGTTTCCTTTGGTGTTAGCTAAAGTGGGATGTATACCTGTCATTCCTAAAATGAACATCAAACACCAAAGAAAGAGACCTGAGTCTCAAGGAAGATGAACTCATGTGGCTTTGTAGTTCATCACTATAACTCAAGTCTGCCCGTGTGAAGACATAGGCTGCATACTCACTAGGGTGGGTGTGAGTTTTCAAAAGACCTTGCTTCTTAATACTGTGTGTGACGGCATGTGATTACTTAGAATAGTTATTGCCTAGTTAGGCATTCATCTGATGGTCACAAACAAGCCTAGCTTAAGGATTCCAGCAGTATGCAGTCTTTACTATGCAAATAGAATGGTGCAAAGATGGAAAATGATGCATCCAGTACCATTTGTTTTATCTCAGTGCCTGGCCATCATCTAGTACATGCATCATGAAAAGTAATGGTTGTTGGGGAAAGGAAGAAACACATTCGTTTTTTTTTTTTAAGTCTACAAGACTTTATAAAACTAATTAAAGGACAGGTATTAATTTTGGTGGATAGTGTCTCATTTTGGTTAAAGGTGTAAGGCATGTGGTATCTGGCACTTGACAAGACTAAGTCAGCTTTTCCTTCTCAGCTATTTTCCACAGAGCCCAGCCTGTAGAGTGCCTATTTAGAGAGGTGGTATGTGACAGTCCCTGTACAGCATCCATTTAGATAGGTGGTAAGTGACAGCCCCCAGTCTAGTTACTCAGAATGTCCTTACTAAACATACTTTGAAAACTCTAGGTTTTTCTCTATTTTAATAGATTAAAGAACAAAAAATTCTTGTGGATGAACTTTCTAACCTGAAGAAGAATCGGGTAAGTTACTGCAGGAATCCGGAATAGTATATAGCTTATTAAAATTAGGAATTAGGTCACTTATGCTAAAATTACAAAACTAACATACTATTTAAAACTAAAGTATTCTGGTTTGCTTTTGTTTTTCTGCATGTGTCAGTACATCTCAAAGGTGAAAAAATTCTTTCCCTATTATTTTAACAAAAAAGAAACAATTACTTCCTTTTGCACAGAAAACTTTAATGTTTCAAGTACTTAACCTATTCCTCTTTTATGACATGTTTATAAATAAGCTGCTGTTTCATGTGTAGCTTTACTGTGAAAAAATACATTTTAAATGAAGAAATAATTTTGTGCTCTGTCAAGCATTTTAAAGATTATCTAAGCCGGGCGGTGGTGGCGCACGCCTTTAATCCCAGCACTCGGGAGGCAGAGGCAGGCGGATCTCTGTGAGTTCGAGGCTGGGCTGGACCGATAGCCTCCAAAACAATACAGAGAAACCCTGTCTCGAAAAACCAAAAAAAAAAAAAAAAAATTAAAGATTATCTAATGACTGACAGTTTCAACATTTCTGATATTGTCATTTGTGAAATATTGGAACCTAAGGCAAATTAATACAAAACTTTTGGAGACCAGATTGGCAAAATGTATAAATGCTGTATGAGACTTGACCTGGGCCTTACTTTAGAGTTACTAGTGAATAAACAGTCATGAAAACACATGGGTGTCTAACTGCAGTGGCAGTCGTCAGCATCTGTAATAGTGAAAAATAGGCATTACATCAAATGTCTGAAGTTTGAGGGCAGCAAAGAACTATGGTATTGTACGTGTGTGTGGTAATGTAAAGAACCTTCATTGGCCAGAAAAGGTCTCCATGTAATTTTATAAGAATAAATTATAACCCTGTGGCTGTGGTAGCCTTTGTCATTGAGAGTAATGTGGCATAATGCCACATGCTGTGCAGACAGCCGTTTCTGGGTGGCATAGTATTGAGTGACTTTGTTTTTGTTTATATTTGATAAATGATTGTTTTGAATATTACTGAAGGTCAGAATAAGTGATAATAGGATTGTTGAGCATCACTATGCAAATCATGTCCTGAGGCTGTGAATTCTTTTGCAGAAAGTATACAAGCAGCAACAGAACAGCAATGTATTCTTCCTTGCAGATCGAACAAAAATGTTTTCCGAAAGCAAAAGTGAGTGGTTTTCTTTTTGGTTTTGTTTTCAGTGTTATGTATGAAATGCTATAGAAAACCTTTTGTAGGCTTTTTGTGATGACTCGTAATGGCGCCTCAACTAAACCCTTCCAAAGACCTCAGCTAGCAGTGGGACTGGGATTTTAACTGGCTTGATCTTGGGCCGGCAGCTGCAGCTGCTGTGAGCTCATATTTAACAACCCCATCACATCTGAAAACGCTGTCTTGTAACAGTCCTCTCCAATCTCTTGTTCTTATGCTCTTTCTGTCATCGCCCCCCCCTTTTACCATGATCCCCAAGCCTTAGGGGTAAGATGTGTGATACAGATGTCCAGCACTTAATCTCTGCACTTGTACCAGTTGTGGTTCTCTGTACTAGCTCTCATCCACTGCTGGAAGACATTCTTTGATGAAGGGTGAGAGCTGAACTAACAGGGAGCTCTTGGCTGTTGATGACTGCCAGGGGAGGGAGAGTCAGTTTCCTTAGGGAGGTAACTCCTGGCAGATTGCCCATGCCCAGTGATAGGAGATAGGGTGGAATAGGAGGTGGATATGATCAAATGTATCACAAATGTGTGAAATAAAAAATATAACTTCAAGATGTATTTGCTATAACTATTAATTAAGGTAGGCAAATATTTTTAAGGCTTGACCAAAGTATGTAAGGTCATTATACGATTTTTTTTCATGGGGGAGGGGCACTTTGAGCCTCCAAGGTCTTCAGGGATTTAAAAGTTGTATATGTCAAGTGCTTGGACCAAAATAAGCACTCAGTGAAAAGAAACCATTACCAAATAGCAGCATTGTTTGTCACTAGAGCATTCTGGATTATTACTGGCAGTTGTACAGTGCATTTACTCATATAGTTTTGAGAAGTGGCCTCTTTTACCTGTGAATTAATAGGTAAACATCTTTTCCTTTTACATCAATATGTTTTTTTCACTCCCTCCTACAGATACTTTAGATGAACTAAGAAAAGAATACCAAGCATTAGAATACTCAGAGACAACCAGAGTCAAGAAGTAGTCACCGTGACTTCACAGAACCATGTGTGGCATTTGCTGTTGTGTAGGCTTCTCTGTTGAGCACTTCAGGAAAGAGTTAAGAGAGGATTTGCTGTACAAGCTTAGAAGACGGGGCCCTGATAGCAGCAAGCAGTTGTTAAAATCTGGGGTCAACTATCAGTGTTTATTTTCCGGTCATGTTCTTCATTTGAGAGGTGTTTTGACTGCCCAGCCTGTGGAAGATGAAAGTGGCAATGTGTTCTTATGGAATGGAGAAGTTTTTGATGGAGTACAGCTTGAAGCAGAAGACAATGACACTCAAGTTATGTTCAGTAGCCTTTCTGCCTGTAAGAATGAGTCTGATATTTTGTCGCTCTTCTCTAAAGTCCAAGGTCCATGGTCTTTTATATATTACCAAGCCTCTAGCCATTACTTATGGTTTGGTAGGGACTTTTTTGGCCGGCGTAGCTTGCTTTGGCATTTTAATCATCTGGGCAATAGTTTCTGCTTGTCTTCAGTTGGTGCCCAAATATCTGGGCTTGCAGACCAGTGGCAAGAAGTTCCAGCATCTGGAATTTTCCAAATTGATCTCAATTCTGCTGCTGTTTCGAGACATGTGACTTTAAAGTTATATCCGTGGAAATATGTTTCTAAGGAGAATGTTACTGAAGAATGTTCTAATGCCCTGACTCAGACTGCAGCAGAATTGCCAGCATTTGTATCAGTAGTAGCAAATGAAGACAAACTGTACCTTTCAAAACCTATTGTTCCCTTAAATAAGATGCTTCCTCAAGCTCCATTGGAAACTCACTGTAGAAACAGTTCCAGCGTTCCACATACAAGAGAGACCCTTGGAATATTTCTTACAGATGAACACACAAAAAAAGTAGTTCATCAGTTTATTGATGTCCTGAGTGTTGCAATCAAGAGACGTGTCTTATGTTTAGTTAGGGAGGAAAACCCAGCATCGAAGGAAGATTTGAAAACTTGTAATAAAGCAAACATTGCGATCCTCTTTTCTGGAGGTGTTGATTCCATGGTAATAGCAGCCCTTGCTGATCGTCATATTCCTTTAGATGAGCCAATTGATCTTCTGAATGTGGCTTTTGTGACTAAACGAAAGCCTGGGCCGAGTGTTCCTAAGGTAAAAAGGAAACAGCAAACCCATCATGAGATCCCTTCCGAAGAGTCCTCTCAGGGTGCTGCTGTGGTTCAGGGTCCTGGTGATGCCGAAGCACCAGACCGAGTCACAGGAAGAGCGGGCCTAAAGGAACTACAGTCTGTCAACCCTTCTCGAACTTGGAATTTTGTTGAAATTAATGTTTCTCTTGAAGAACTACAAAAACTCAGAAGAGCTCGAATATGTCACTTAGTTCAGCCCTTGGACACAGTTCTGGATGATAGCATTGGCTGTGCTGTCTGGTTTGCTTCTAGAGGAGTCGGTTGGTTAGTGAGCCAGGATGCTGTGAGACCTTACCAGAGCAGTGCAAAGGTATGCTCTGGGATTTTTGTTCAGAGGAATTTCTGAGACCTAATTTTGACTGTATTTTAGCTGTACTTTATAATACAGTGTTTATTACTTCTTTAAAAGTGAACGTGTCTTTTTACTATTTTCTGACTTGTGGATTTTTTTTTCTAAAATGTTAAGGCTAACTTTTTAGGATTTATAAGAAAAACAGAACTCATTTTCTGTATCCTGTTTGTTGTGTCTTGGCTTCCTTTAATCTTTTATAGGTGATTCTCACTGGGATCGGTGCCGATGAGCAGCTGGCAGGCTACTCCCGTCATCGGGTCCGCTTCCAGTCTCTAGGTCTAGAAGGTCTGAATGAGGAAATAGCAATGGAACTGGGTCGCATCTCCTCCAGAAACCTCGGTCGTGATGACAGAGTTATTGGTGATCATGGAAAGGAAGCCAGGTAACCCCTTACTTGAAAGCTATTTAGTAGAAACACAAAAGGAGACTTTCCATTCCTTTTCTTTGGAAACTGGCCCCATGCAAACAGGAGCACTGACATACTGCCTCAGCTTTCCATTATGAACACAGTCCAGAGAAAAGGAACCCTGGTGCAGTAATAAGTAACTATGCACTCATGGTCAAGGTGACTGAATAACTCTTTTGAAAACTATAGAAGTGAAAAAGAGGATAGTGTATTTCCAAGTTGAGGCAGTTTAAGGGTTTTGTCTTGCCCCACAAAGCCACCCTGACTTTGTTCTCTAATGTTGTAGAATCTGGTTTTGTTGATGTAGGCATGTCCCCTGTGCTGATCTATGGAGGTCCCAGTCCTGGGTACTATGGTAGATTGCCTAAAATTTTCACAGAGACCAAGGCAGTTTCGTGTATGCTTTTAAATCTTGGGTTTATTTTACCTACAACATACTCATGATAATAATAAAGACTTACTGAAATACAATTTTTTAAACATTAAGGATAAAGGAAGATATGATGGAATGAAGAATACAACTATCGAGCTGGTTATGGTGGTTCACATTTAGCAGGTAGAATCTGGAAGATCATGGGCTCGAGGTCAGCCTGTGTTACATGGCAAGACCATTTCTCAAAAATAAAAGTGAATATAACCCTATTTGAATTGTTAATACTTGATATTTTGTTAAAAGGACTAAGCAGGCAAGAAGCAGGAGGCCAGTGTAAGTCACATGAGAACCGAGACATCATAATTTAGTTACCTCCCTCTCTATCTGAAAATTGTCTCCAGCTTTTATTCCATGCTTTAGCCCTTCCCATTGAATTATGATTGCCTTTACCAAATTGTTCCTATGTTGCCCATCCTTGTCTAAATTATATTGTCATTGCTGTTCTATATCTCAAGATTGTATTTTAAATAGATAATTAATACCATCCTATGAAGTATATAAATGGTTCTCCCTTTGAAGAATGTCAAGAGAAAGGGTCAAGAGTTGAAGAAAGGGGGCTGGGCTTTAGTGGCACTTGCCTTAATCCCAGCACTGGGGAGGCAGGTGGATCTCTGTCAGTTCGAAGCCAGTCTGGTCTACAGAGTGAGTTCTAGGATAGCCTCCAAAATAATACAGAGAAACCCTGTCTCTGAAAAAAAAAAAAAAAAGAGAGAGAGAGAGAGAGAGAGAGAGAGAGAGAGATTAAGAAAGGGAGAGGAAAAAAATAAATTTAATCCATTATAATCAGACAGATGAAGGAGTAGAAAATTTACTTTTTCTAATGAAACAGTTAATTCCAAAGGCCTTATAAAGTTATTATAATGCTACACTCAGGTGAAAATGTGTATGAAGAATGTGTTTTTACAACAGTGAATATGGTATAGCTATGTTGTATTTCTGAGTGTGGGATGGTATGATAGATAAAACATAACCCAAAAGAGGAAACCCATGATTTTACGGAAAAGTGAAGAAGCAACATTACAGGACATTACTGTTTTAAATGTAGTATTTATTATATTGACCAATTTGTTGCCACACAGAAATTGTAAATAAACAATTTTGATACAGTGTTACAAGCCCAGGATTTTGGAACCCTTTCCACTGGTTTCATGCCCCTAAAGTTCAGTTTCTGTAGACATGCTCCAGTCAGACATAAATTAGGTTATTCATGATCATGCTGTATCCAGGGTCATCCTCAAAAATACTCTAAAACAACTTGAAATTATTTCTTGATGCCATAGGGAACTAATTTGTTTAGATTTTAGAATATTTTTGTAATGCATATAAAGTCATGTTTTGAAATACCCTTTTAATGTGGTTAAATTTTAGCCATTGTGTGAATAATGACAGATAGACTACTTTTTAATAGTAGTCACTATCCATTTTTTAATGAACTTAGGTTTCCTTTCCTGGATGAGAACGTTGTGTCTTTCCTAAACTCCCTGCCGGTGTGGGAGAAGGCGGACCTGTCTTTGCCGCGAGGGCTTGGTGAGAAGCTCCTTCTACGCCTCGCAGCTGTTGAACTTGGCCTCACAACCTCAGCCCTCCTGCCGAAACGGGCCATGCAGTTTGGTTCTAGAATTGCAAAACTGGAGAAAACTGACGAGAAAGCATCTGATAAGTGTGGAAGGCTTCAAATCCTACCTTAGAAAACCTCTCTCAAGAAAATTACATCATAATGTGATTCCACCCCCGTAACAACACTGTGTGACAGTCACTAAAAATAAACAACTACTGCCTTACTGCTGTGGGATGTTGTGGTTTCAGTTTGTTGTGTGAGTTTTTACTTTCCCATCAAGGATCCTTTTGATCAGATACATGAGGTAAGTTAGGCAGGGTTCCCTAGATGGCCTTGGCATTGGGCTCTTACCAGGAAGCCCAGGTATGTGCCAGCATTACAGCTGGTCTTTGGGGAAGTTTCACCTGAGAAATAGAGTGAGGTGGTCTTGAGATGAAACTCCCATCAAGCTCTTTACAGATGTGATGAGTTTCAGTTTCCCAGTGCATGGACAGGCTTTCAGGATGAAATTACAGAGGGCTGGAAGGCTGCTTTCTACCCCAGTAGTCCTGTACATCTGCTCTTCCATCTGGCTATTTCTGTGTTATAGCCTTGTGAATGTGAATCCTGACTTCTGTAAGCACACTATTAACACTGAAGGAGGGAGAGCGGTGAGAGTCCAGTTCATAAATGGTGCAGAGAAGGAGCAGAGGCCTAACTTGCACTGGGTGTTTGAAATGCCAATCATGCAGGACTGAGCTCTTAAACCTGGGGCCTGATACTGACTTCTGGAAGAGAGTGTCAGAATTTGTATGACACTCAGGTGCTGTTCAGATGTATAGGAAAAGAAAAAAGTCCAGTGTCAGTGTAAAATATAGATAAGCTGTTTCCTGCAGTCTTCATAGGAGCCACAGCCACAATAACTCAGTTGCTGTTGTCTTTGGGGACCTTGGCTTAGGCTCTGACAGATTCCAGAACTAAAATTTTGAGAAGCTAAACAATTGAGATTGATGTTCCTGAGACTTAATACACTTGTCACAGCTCATTTTCCTACTTGAGGAATTTTTAAGAACTATTTCAAATATCTGGTCCTTCAAATCTACATGTCCCATTCTTAACTGGTCACAGAAAGCTCGGTTAATTAGCCCAAGATCTGCCTCTGCCCAACTCAGAAGTATTTTCAAAAATTTTTTTCTGAGTTCTGTTGAGTGGATATCTAAGAGGAAGAGTTGGTCTTCTTGGAGTCGTATCCTGGAGTATGTTTGCATCATGATGTTCACCTCACCTGTAGTTATTCCATAGCTTTCGTTCTTGCCCCTACAAATGGTCCTTTACCAATTACCAGTCAAAAGGCTGTTTTCTATGTCACTAATTGTATTGTGTATCAAACTGATAGCAATCTGCTGACCAGCTCTTGCCTACCCCATCATCTGTCCATTGTGATCCCACCACATCCCGGTGTCACCCCACACTCTACTGTTTGGAAACTGTCTTCATCTGGGGCTGACACCTTTCTGATCTTTGCATTCGTAGTGAAGAATTGTTAGGAGACGGACAGACTAGCCTGACAAAGGCTTTCCTGTGTCCTGAACTTATTTCCTGGCAAATACAGTTTCCATGCATCTTCCTAAAGTTGATGAGAGCTCTGTCACAGCCACTAAGAACCTCATTGCTCAGTGTAAAGGGGGAGTTAAACTTTTCTTGAGCTGGCTGTCACAACCAATGAAGTTGCCCATACCTGTCACTTAGTTCATGAAATGACCAGTGGCTTCTGACCAGTTGGGTCTTTCCTCTGCTTTTCCTGGCCATCTCTTCATTGTCTCTGCTGACCCTAACCTCCCACTCCCTCCCTCCCCTCCCCTCCTCCTTCTCCCCATCCCTTTCCTCTTTTTTAAGAGAGAGTCCCATTATATAGTGCTAGTTGCCCTCTCCAACTGACCTTCAAATGTTAAATTTCATAGGTTTCTGTCCTGAATATCAACGGTGTGCTCTCTCGTGGTGATTCAACTACTCTGGCTTCAGTTACCTTTAGCTTAAGTGAATTTTATATGTCTCACCCCAGCTGTAATTGTTAATTGTCCTGATACCTAAGAGAGATACCTGACATTTCTTTGTTTCTCTGGTACTTTAAGGTGAATTATGTTCACAGCTGAACTTAGAATTTTGTTTTGACATCCTGTGGCCCCTGATAGGAACCAACCCTGACACGTTTTGGTGTTGTTTTTTTTTTTTTCTCAACACATTACAACCCTGTAATCTGTTACCAATAACCCACCTCAGATTCCACAGCCCTTGGCTCTCATCACCCTAGCCTCCACCTGACCTGCATTGTGTTAATTCAAAATCACACACCATCACTCATCCAACTTTACATATCGCATTTTATGCCCACATCCCTTGATTTCAATGCAATGATTTGTTTTCTCAAACTTCCAACACCACCACCCCTGTTCTCTAGAAGAGCAACTTCAGCAATTATTTGTGTGGATAACTTTTTCATTTTCCAGACTCATTTTAAAAGTCACTCCACAGGCGTCTGGATGAACGTTCCATTTGGTGCTGCCAACATCTTATACCACGTTGGCAAGCACTTCTGTGTTTCTAAGTTCCTTGGGTTTTGCTCTTTTCCCTGTATTTGTGGTCTCCAGTTTTTGGCATGGTGCCTAGCTCACAGTTGATGCTCAGTAAACGCTCAATAGGATTCCAGACCGGGACCCTCAGAGTCTGGCCCGTTGTCTCGTGCCACTTCCTGGGTTTCTGTTGTTTTCTTTGCATTTAGCCGATGCATAGTAGCAGTGACAGAACATGACTCTGAGCTGAGATCTAGAGAGAAGTTAGAAGATTTGGCCTCATGGGATCAACCACGAGGTTGTGGCCTTGGGGCAAGATGTACAGAGGTAGCGACAGCCATGTTCATCTATCTGAGACACAGCCTGCGCATGGCAAGGCCCCAAGGGAAGTTTTACCTAGCTCAGGGCCCTCCCAATTCTCACCAACTTTGGTCCTCTGCATAGGTAAGGCGCTCCCAGATTCCCTGACCGTCTCGCGCTCTGGGCGTTCTGGTGGGGCGACTCAGAACCATCGAGAAGCCATCCTAAGCAACCAACGGCTGTCTGCTCCTGAGAATACCTTAGCGACCGTCGTGGAAGGGACTCCTAGACAAGAAAAACATTTCCAAGTAGGCCTGTCCCTTTTCCTTGTCCAGTTCCTTGTCCTTGGCAGATGCTAATTAATTATGATCACAAGTCTTGCGAGCCCGCATCATGTCCTGTGATCTCCTTAGCTTACGTGTTGGTATCTATGAAGTAGAAAATGCCCAACAGAGCCGGATTCTGTATGCAGTGTCAGCATTGGTTCTCTGCCCCAAACCTGTGTGATCCAGAAACGGGAATTTTAAGAAGGTCCAGGTGATTTTGATGCAGGCTAAAATATGAAAATTGGTGCATAATGGAGGCCAATGAAATTAAGTAAAAACATTGTTTTACATAATAGATGCTCAGAAAAGAGTAATAGTTACTATTGTGAAAGCAAGCTTTCAGTTGCTCAGAAACTACAGAGCAGGCAGGAGGAACAACCCAGCAGATGAGCGGGGGACCTAGACTAAACAGCCCAGGAGGGGGAGGCACGCAGGTCTCAGGAGCTCCCAAGGGTGGAGAAGAAGGGAAGCCCAGAGTAGGCAGGAAAAGGTGGCTAAGAGGGTGGGAGAGGGAGGGAGGGGATTTTAAAAATCTTTACAATGAAAAATAAAGTGCATGGCAGTGGCTTCTCATACACAAATCTAACACTTTTTCTGAAATACATCTCATGCCATTTAATGACAAAGTTCGATTGGTTTTTGCCAAGTGACAGAAATTAAGGTCATTTGGGAAAAACAAACCTTAGCCAAGCAAATGTCTCCATCATATTGCTCTGTAGACAAGTCTATGGGACATTTTTTTTCTTGGTTTTTCAAGACAGTTTCTCTTTTGTGGCCCTGCTGTCCTGGAACTTGCTCTGTAGACCAGGCTGGCCTCAAATTCACAGAGATCCCCTGCCTCTGCCTCCCAGGTGCTGGTATTAAAGGTGTGTGCCACCTCACCGAGCAGGGATATTTTTCATTGATGATCAGTGTGGAAAGGCCCTGCCCCCTGTGGGTGTTATGATCATGAGTGTGTAAAAAAGCAAGGTGAGAAAGTTTGAAGAAGCAAGTCTTTAAGCAGCATTCCTCTCTGGTCCCTGCTTCAGTTCCTGCTCCCCACTGATAATGCGCTGTGACCTGGAAACCAAATAAACCCTTTTCTCCACAAGTCCCTTTGGTTATGGTGTTTATCACAGTGATAGAAACTTAACTGGATCAGATGGAAAGTGTGCCAAGCTATTTCAACGTTGTATAAACATTGTAGAATGTACTTAACACAAACTAAGATGTTATATATAATCTTAAGAGATCACAATCTGTGTGGTTACTTGTTGAAGAGCGTTGTGTAGCACAAAGAATTCCTCAGAAACTTTTGGCTCTGAAAAGCAGAGCTTTTTCAAGTAGTTAATCATGATTAATGTTAAAAATTTTACCATCTTAAATATTTTCATTCAAATTTAAGTTTCCTGTGATGCAATTAATCAGAGGTTGAAAAGAGAACAGGTTGACTATAAGAAGCCTGACTTTAGAAAGATGATAGGTACCTATTTATTCTAGAAAAAAATCCAGCTTCGTTGCCATGACAAATATTATTGCTTGTCTTTTCCTTCATTGCAGAAACTTCAAGAAAAACACACTAGATTTAGTTTAAAATGTTTAGAATATCCAAAAAAGGAATAGTTAGATTTGACCAAGTTCAAGATGAAGAAACTTACCTGGAAAATTTAGCAGTGCAAAGAAATGCCTCTGCTTTCTTTGAAAAATATGATCGCAGTGAAGTGCAAGAATTATTAACGACAGCACTAGTCAGCTGGTTGTCTACCAAGGATGATGTTCGTTCTCAACTAGACATCCCATGTGGACTCATGAGTCAAATAAATAATGTGGGCTTCTCCAATGCCATTCTATTGACACCTGTGGACCCTACTGCCCACTTAGACTACAGGGAAGTCCATCAGATCTTAAGGGAGCTGGCTGTTGGAATTTATTGCTTAAATCAAATCCCTTCAATCAGTTTAGAAGCAAATTATGATCAGAGTTCTTCTTGTCAGTTACCTCCCGCTTATTATGATACCAGAATTGGACAGATTTTGATTCATATTGACTATATGCTAAAAGCACTGTGG